TGCTATGGAGTGATGAAAGTACCTTTACTGTTATCTGTAGAGCTAAAAGAGCTTATGTGAGAAGAAGAGTTGGTGAATGATTTAGTCTTTTGTGTATTGGTGAATGATTTAGTCCTCTCATACAGTAAAGCATGGAGGAGGCTCTCTTATGGTATGGGATTGCATGTCAGGATCAGGTGTAGGTCATTTATATTGTTGTACGGGCACGGTAAACTAGGATAAATATTTGAAAATATAACTATTTGGTAAAAACAAACCATTTTTCTTTCGACAGGACAATGCTCCTTGCCACAAAGCTAAGAAAGTAATTGAATATCTCAAACATGCTCGTACTAATGCTATTGAATGGCCTCCACAAAGTCCTGACCTCAACCCCATTGAAAATTTGTATGAGTAGCTCTTGAGAAAAGTACAGAAACCAAACCCAGCAATCCCAGGATAATTTGTGGCAACATTTGCAGGATAATTTGTGGCAACATTTGCAAGCTGCATGGCTAGCAATCCCTGTTGAAACCATCCAAAAGCTGGTACAGTCTCTGCCAAGACTTGTACAGACCGTGCTTGATGCGCATGGAGAGCATACAAAATACTAGTCTTTTAGTCAGAACTTCTTATGTTTTATTAGTGGCGTTTATTACTGACAATGCAGAGTCATTTTTATTTCAATGTGATGCTGTTTTATTTATATTGTGCCAAAAATGAATAAACTTCTCTTGTTTTTCAACTGTGGTCATGACTTTATGCCTCAACTGTATATAGGTGTGTATATATATATATATATATATATATATATATATATATATATATATATATATATATATATATATATATATATATATATATATATATATATATATATATATATATATATATATATATTTATATATATATGTATATATATACATATATATATAGATATATATATATATATAATTATATATATATATATATATATACATATATATATATATATATATATATATATATATATATATATATATATATATATATATATATATAAATATATATATATATATATATATATATATATATATATATATATATATATATATATATATATATATATATATATATGTATATATATATATATATATATATATATATATATATATATATATATATATATATATATATATATATATATTATATATATATATAGTATATATATATATATGTTTAGTTCTAAATGTTATTTTAAGATTTTTAATCTTTAATAATATTCTGTTTTTACCAAATATTTGGCAGTATGAAACCTATAATATTATATACAATATTATATACCCTATTTTACTTATAAAATTATTAATCTGTAAAGTAATTTGTAAAAGATTTTTAATTCATGTAAAATATTTACCTGAGAAAACAAGTTTTTTAGATAAAATTCAATTATTCTCTATGCTTGTGTTCTGTAGGTTAAAAAATAATAAATAAAGATGATATTGATTGTGATGATCAATAGATTCATTTTAAGATAAATCAATCTTCATCATCTTAAAATAAAAAGGATAAATATGATAGATTTCCATTATCTCAAACAAGTAAGTCTTTAGTTAAAAATAATAATGTAATGTTTATATGTGTATATATGTATAATATACTTATAATATGTATAAATATATATATACATATATATATATATATAATTTTTATACATATTTATAATACGTATAAATATTAATGTAATGTTTATATGTATATAATGTATATATATATATATAATGTATATATATATATATATATATATATATATATATATAATATATATATATATATATATATATATATATATATATATATATAAATATATATATATATATATATATATATATATATATATATATATATATATATATATATATATAATATAAATATATATTTATATATATATATATATATATATATATATATATATATATATCTATATATATATATATATATACATATATATATATATATACATATATATATACATATATATATATATATATATATATATATATATATATATATATATATATATATATATATATATATATATATATATATATATATATATATATATATATATATATATATATTTAATATACTTTTTATTTGTGCGTATTATGAAATTATATATATATTTTTAAAACATATATTTGTAATTTAAAAACTTATTACTATTATTATTATTATACTATTATATTATTATTATACTATATAACTATTATTACTGTTCAGATTGTCTGTTGTAAATATATAGTTTATTCTTTTAGTTTGTGCATCGACTGCTCACTAATCATAAAAAGAGTCGATTGTCGATGTAATAATACTGATTCGTTAAAGCTGACAACTTCTACTTGTGCTAAAGTACCTTAAATCCAACATATATCATTGTTACGATATTAATTTGTTTGTAAGTTGTTTTAGAAAATAAATTTAAAAATAACTTTTAAATAATTTTTTTATTTTTCTTGTTTTTTTAACCAACAGATTCTTTTAAATAACTTAATAATAGTCCCTATGGACTTGGGAATATTTTCTGAAAAAAAAACGTTTTTTAAACGTTCAAAAGACTTTTTTTTTATGGTTCAATTTGGGTTTATTAAGAGCGTTTTTTAAACGTTTTTTTTAGAACGTTTTTTAAACAACTTTTTTAGAACGTTTTTTAAACGCTTTTTTAAAACGTTTTTTAGGTATTGCCATTTCGAACGTTTAAAAAACTTTTTATTTATTAGTTAAAAAAACGTTTTAAAAACGTTCATGTGCTTACTGGGTTGGGAATATTTTCTGAAAAAAACGTCTTTTAAACGTTTAAAAGACTTTTTTTTATGGTTTTTTAAGAGCGTTTTTTAAACGTTTTTTTCAGAACGTTTTTTAAACAACTTTTTTATAACGTTTTTTAAACGCGTTTTTTAAAACGTTTTTTAGGTATTGCCATTTCGAACGTTTAAAAAACGTTTTATTTATTTGTTAAAAAACGTTTTAAAAACGTTCATGTGCTTACTGGGATTAGTAAAAATTTAAGTCATTTATTTTTAACAGAATTCTTAAACATTTGACACTTTTTTTCAATAAAATCTTTTATTTTTTTGAGTGTATTGACTTATATGATTTTTTGCAAACTTTTTAAAAAAGATTATTGCTATCTAAAAAAGTTGTTTTTTATAAAATCTGAATATATTTTATTTCTTAAATAACACCCTATAAAAAATACATACTTATATAACTTGTATTATATTAACTAAAAAATTATATACAACTTTTATTGATACTTTATACAAAAATTATTATAAGTAATTTGTTAATTTATTTAAAAGTGTTTCGCTAATATAAAAATCATTAGTAAAGATAAAAGTTTCAATGTTAATTAATTTCTAATGTGCATTTCTTGTGTATAGATATATAGGTATAATATAAAATCTTTATTACTCAGCGCGTTTTTAAACTTCATGGTCAATTAATGGCATGCAATCGCACGCCTTCCTGTTATGGCCTCCTATCAGTAACAAAACTTGTGAAATGTGATATGTGAAAATATCACATTTTACAAGTTTTGTTACTGGAAGGAGGCCCTAAGAACAACAAAACCCATTAAATTTGTATGCTTGTCCCACACAAGATTACTTTTTTCTCATTAAAAAAAAGTACAAATAAACATCATTCAAGCGATGAAAAGTTTGACACTAATTTAGTAAGCTCCTGAACATATTCATTAATAAAACCCCTTTGATGTAGGTTCTATTGTCTTTCAAAGTACGACAAAAAGTAGTAGACAAAAAATTTATATCATTTTCATTTTTTTTTAAACGTAGAAGATCATATGCAGCTGGAGATTTTGCATACAATGCTAAAGAGTTCTTTACAACCTTTTGGATGGTATCGTGTTCATCATCGCGAGATGAATGTTCTGTTAAATACTTCAACTGATCTGTAAGGAACAGTTTCATAAAAGATAAAATTTCTCTAATTAAAGCTGCTTTTCAGAGAAACTGTTGATAACTATACGAAGAACCTGGTGGATAGTTTCTCAAACTGATACTGCACATTTTTCAATGGCTTTATTAAGTTGAGCAACTTTCATTTTTAGATATTTAATTTCAGAGTATGAAAAAATCTATAAGGTGCAGTGTACTCAACGCTTTTATTTTAACAGGTTTAATGTTTGCTGGAGTGCTTAATTTTTTTTTTTGGATTGATAATTTTACTACTATTTATTACTAACAAGTTAATAAACAAGTTACAAATGGCTAATTCAATTTACAAATTTACAAATAATTTACAAATGGCTGATTCAATTTGTAAAATATTACATGTTGAAGTTAGAATTTGTAGAATATTACAGTTTTATTTGCAGGACTAAAATTATCATCACATATTTCATCCATGTAATTAACTGAAAATCGTTTGTAAGCAACATGCCTCCTTACAAGCAAAAAAATTTCTATTACATTTGATGATATTATATTGCGCAGAAAAGAAACTATAGATGTGATTGAGAAACTGTGTATCTCACAGATCGAAAATTTTTCTTATAAATTTAATAAGAGTCTGGCAAAATTTAAGCATAAGCTCGAATAGTGTAAGCTAGACTCTCATCAACGTGTAGGTCAAATTCATAACTGTTTAACTCTAAGAAACTTACCATTATGAGCCAAAGGTAAAAAGTTTGACAACTTGAATAAAGAAAAAATTTTTTACTAAAGATGAGGTGATGAGACACAAAACTACAGCTTTCTGAGCAAGTTATTTGTTATCTTTTTCCTATTTTGCATTCAAAAGGATCTTGGTTCTAATTTTTTCAGGTATAAGGAGATAATACAAAAAGCTATTGTACACTTTAAGACTTTCCTTGTGTCTATGATAATATATATAAAATTTTTAAAAATTCCTAAAATAAAAAATTTTTAAATACCATTTTAAAAAAGATAAATTAAAATAAAAAATATACAATTTGTCGAAATATATTAAAATTAATTAAACTATGCTACTAAACTTACATTATTTCATCAGGACAGGATAATTGGTCTAAAGTTATAAAATATTAAATCAAGCTTGAAACTTTAAAAAAATTGCAAACATTATATAAAATTTATATACATGTATATATATATATATATATATATATATATATATATATATATATATATATATATATATATATATATATATATATATATATATATATATATATATATATATATATATATATATATATATAACTGAGTTTTAACACCATTTTCTCTATTTTATTTTAGTTTTTTCCTACGATTACCATAAAAAGCTATTTAAAAAAATCAAAACAAGTTAGATAAGTAAAATTGTTTAAAACAACTACAAAAAAAGAAAACACTTTATTTAACTAATATGCATCTCATCAAAAATATAGCAAAAACATCTCAGCCTTACCAGAAAATTCTCTTTCAACATCTCTAACTATATCTAAGCGTTCAAATGATTTTAGCATTTTCCTTAATTGCTTCCATGAAGGGTTTTTATTTTTTTCCTTCCACTTTTTTAAAACTTTTGTAGCTTTCTCGCAAACTTCCTTATTATCACAGTCAATATTGTCAAGATCTGCATCATTCAAGTCTAAGTGACATCCAAATCTTTTCCAGTCTTTTCCAATTTTGTAACTTATGTAACTACACAGTTTTGAAGTCAAGTCATCAGTTCCATAATTTACTAAAATCAAATAAAATCTAGAATTAAAATATTAACTAAATAAAAAAAAATGCAAATAGCAAAAAAAAAAATAATTGGTAGGACTCAAAGTAATATAAATATTATTAGTACTATATTACACTATATTATTATATTATAAAAATTATTTTTCAAAACGTAAATAAATATATGTTTCTTTACAAATTTGTCAAAATATTTAAATTCGTTTACTCATTCGTTACTGTGTCTGTCCCTGCATGCACTAAAAACTTAAATTTTTTAATTTCTAGTTTTTTCCTTTTTTTTTTAGTCTCCAGTAAACGATTTCCCTGCTCTTTATTCTTTTTTTTTTCCAACATAATAGTGGCAACTTGATAGCTCAAAGCCTTGTTGGGAGTAAATCAGAATAAAAATACTTTTTTTTTTAAACCTAAACTTGACTAAAAAAAAATATAAAAATAACTATATTTATTTTTAGGTCCAAATCAAAAAAAAACAAATAAATGAATTTCCTGAGTTAATAGTTTATAATAGTATTTTGATCATTATAAAAACTTACTGATTTTTTTTTTTTTTTTTTTGAAAACCTCGACTTCTAAAAAGGCTGCAAGCAACCACTATAAGAGTGAGAAGTTACTAAAAGTTAGAAGAGAAAAGAAAAAGTTCATAAAGCAAAATAATGATTAACAGACAACTTAAAGGATTCAAAAAGAATTACGAAATTAAGATAAAGAGAGCAATCTACAAATAACTGATGTTCGGTGATGAAAACTAGGCGAATAAGAATTTTCGGAGCACTTAGGAACAGTCACAGTAAAGGGATGAGACTTAGTTGAATGTCAAGTAGTATGAGAATGAATTCAAGTAGATGGCATAAAAGACCAATATAGTATTGATAGAAAAAAAAAGAGAAGCAATATAATGACAATGTGACAATAGTTGAAGGTTGGCTGCAAGATCAGCTCCAACTATGTTTACAAAGCATTTTTTCACCTTCTCAATAAGAAAAGATATCATTTGAAGATTCAATCCAGATATGGCAACAGTATTTCATAAATATTTTTAGAGATAATAAATAAAATCTGGAGTAAGAAAGTGACGAGCATATTAAGGAGATGCAACCTTAACAGATGCTAGTTTTACAATGGATTTATTATATGGTTTCTAAATAAGATCGGAATCAAGAGTTGATCCTAGATTTAACAAGGTAGTGGTGTAGTGGTAACGTGGTAGTGGTATAGTGGTAGAGCGCTCGCTTTATAAGCAAAAGGTTCTAAGTTCAATCCCCACCATGTCCCTTGTAGTACCACTCTCAACTTGTTTCTCCGCGCATCGGCTTTGTTCGTCAAGGTTCGTGTTTCAGAGTTATAGAGTTGAGAGAGGGTTATAGCTTAAATTAAGTAGCCTCCTTGCCTGTACTAGCCTTCTTGACCTTTTGAAGCTGTATTAACAAGATAACTTTTATAACACAACTGGTAAGAAAAAATTCAATAATTTTAAATATACACAGCAAGAAGAGAGCTTATGGCATTTCTTTATCAAAACTTTATCAAAGGCCTATCAGGTAGGATGTGATTAGTGGAATAAAGAGAGAAGATTGATGAAAAGTTCAATGGTAATAATTCAGCTTTGAATTTTGGTGAGGCAACAAAATTTGAACTATGAAAGAGAGGTAGGATATTAAATTTACACAATATTATAAACACTTTTAGAATCCACAGCGGACTCTAATAAGTAAATCAAAAGGCAGATAAGAAAGAATAATATATTTCAATAATAAACAATAATTAAGCGCCATTATGCTTTCTTGAAACTTAACAAGATAAGAAAAAACGTGCTCGCGCGTTAAGCCTAAAAATGGTTACTAGAACCCAGTCCTTTTAAACTAGTTTCTACAACACTGTTGAATATTCTCTAGAACTGAAACTTTGTGACCTGAAAATTGCCAGCTTCAATATTGGAAAAAACCGTTTTTCAATGGTCTCTGGCACTAGTAGACAAGCACCTGTAACAATTGGAAATTGCAGCGGCATAAGAAGAGAAAAACCATGGAAAAGAGCAAGGCTTGACAAAATTTTGATAAGAAGGAAATAAAATACTCCAAGCAACTTTATTGCATCAATGTAATATTTTTTTTGTAAAATTTTGATATATATATATATATATATATATATATATATATATATATATATATATATATATATATATATATATATATATATATATATATATATGTACGAAGCCTCCAGCAGCAGGCTTTTCAGTATGAAGTCAGATTGTTTACCTTAGTACTTATATTATCATTAAACCAGTTGTATAATACTATTTTTAGTAACAGTAATTTTACAACTGGTTTAGTGATAATATAAGGGCCGAAGAAGTTATTTATGTAAATACTATGCAACTTGAAAATAATTCTTGTTAAAATGAGAGAGAGGTGTGAAAATAGTCAAATGTAAAACTTATTGTTTTACATTATTCTACATAAAAATATGTAAAATAATGATTTTTTAATTTTAAATGTACTTTTTTTGATTTTAATTATAAAAAATCCAGCCAATTTTTATTTGACAGGCTGTACAAAGCCTTCCTTCTCTGGCGCCTGCAGTAATAACTGGTTTTTAAAAAAATTAAAAATTTAAGTTATGTGATCTTTTAATGTCATTAACTAAAAGCCAAGACATAAATAAAAGCAAGCAGAATTGAAAAGATTTTGTTTAGATAAGTGTGCACCTTATTAAATCTTTATGGTAATAAATTTAGTTTAATTGCTTTATATTATTGCTTAACGGAAAAAACACAATAAACAAACAATTCTATTTGTGTTAATAAGGTTTACAAGTTCACGACCCAGAGGTAACCCACTGTTTTAGGGTGGTAGCCCTCTTATCAGAAAAATTGAAGTTGGTGTATTGACGAGAGTTGATTTGGTTTGGTTTCACTCTTAAAATGCCGCCAAAAAATTCAGACATAAATATGTTACTACAAGAAATGCAAGAAAAAATAAAGCAATTGGAAAAAAAAATAGACGAGAAAGATGGTTTGATAAAAAATCTTGAAGGAAGGGTAAATGAATTAGAAAATAAATTAGACCAAGATTAATCAAAAGATTTAAATAATTGGAGTGAAGTCGTAAAAAGAAAAGTTAAAACAAATCAAGGTCAAAATGATATTATAAACACGATTCTACATGACGAAAAAGAACGTAATAAAAGAAAAAATAATATTATTATTTTTGGTGTTAAGTTAGCAAATCATGATAACATTGACAAGAAAAAATGTGATGAAGATATGGTAAACAATATTTTTGACTCAATAAATGCAGACAAGGATAAAATAAAAAAAGTCATTCGACTCAAAACAAGAGACACATCAAAAATACCACCAGTTATCATTGAGTTAGACAATGCGTCAGACAAAATAAGTGTATTAAAAGCTGCATACATTAACAGAAACAAGATAAATGAAATCTATTTTAACTCAGATATGACAGAATCCGAAAGAGATCTCATTAAACAGCTACGTAGTGAAGTTAAATTGTTAAATGCTAGCTTAAATCAAAAAGATGAATACTACTACACTATAAGAAATTTTAAAGTTGTGAAACTCATAAAAAAACCAAAGCAATAGCAATCCTCAATTAATTTGTATCAACCTGCAGTAATGGCTGTCTTTTCTACACATAATCCTGTATCTAATTATGTTAAATCAGAAGTAAATAAATGTAAGCGGGTATAATGTTTTTTACAACAATCGATCTAAGTCTAATTCAACTAAATCTCATGGCGGAGGTGTTGCTATTTATGTTAAAAATAAATACATTGCTTATACTCCATATGACCTAGCATCTGAAGAAATGACAGTTGAACAAGTCTGGTGTGTTATTAAAACAGAAAATGAGAATATCTCAATTGGTAGCATATATCGTCCACCAGATGCTACAGAATTGACAAATCAAAAAATAAATAAAATAATAAATATAGCTAAAAAAAGTGTTGATTGCAACAAATATTCAGGTCTACTCTTAGCCGGAGACCTAAATTACCCAAATATAAAATGGAATGGGAATGATGAGAATATCCAACAGTGTTAAAAAATGATAGACAAGCACAAATTTTTTTTAGACATTTTAAATGATAACTTTTTGACTCAAAACGTCACAAAACCAACCTTTAATTCAGGGACTTTGTCAGAAGGCAATACCTTAGATTTGATTTTAACCGATGCACCAGAGCGTATTTCGATCATAGGCTATAATCCTCCGTTAAGCAATTTAAATAATGCACATCAGATATTGTATTGGAATTACATCTTAAAAAAACCAACAACATCAAAATCTTCCTATGGGAAATCAATGTTTAACTACAAAGCCGGAAATTATCAAGAAATGAACAATTCAGTCCATAGTATAAGATGGTCTTATATTTTCTCTAATAAAAACGTTGATGAATGCTACAAAATTTTTGTAAATAAATATCAAGAATTATCTGACTGTTATATACCTAAAAAAGTGCATAAACACATAGCTTTAAAACCATATATTGACAAACAAATTAAGACTGAAATCATACAAAAAACAACCTTATGGAACAAATTAATATCAAATAAATCCAAATCACCCATTTTGGTTCAGCAATACAAAATACAAAGTAAATTAGTTAAAAACATGGTGAGGTTAAAACGTATTGAATATGAAAAAAAAATCAGTGAAACATCAAAAAGAAATCCCAAGTTATTTTATAGTTATGTAAATTCTAACAAAAAAGTTAAAGGAGGAATAGCTTCAATGTCTAATGAATATAATAACATTGTAACAAATAGAGAATCTATAGCAAATATTTTACACAATAGTTTCAATTCAGTTTGTGTTAACGAAGATAAACATAACATACCAAATATATCGCAGAAGACTGAAATTATTCTAGAAGTAGATATAAATAATAAAATAACTTGCCATACTATTGAAAAAAAATTAAAAAAATTAGATGTTTACAAAGCTATCGGAGTAGATGGGATAAGCC